TTCAACTATTTACAATGATTTAAAAAATCTGCAAAAATTCATGAATATTCTTTCAAGTTTATAGAACAAACATATGTAATTAAAATTGGACAATAATAATATAGTATAGTTTATTTATAAAAAAGAAAATAGATCGAGGAAATGAGAGATTTGGTTTAAAAAATTGTAACTTTGCACAATGTACTTTGCTCTTCGACACTTCGAGAAACTTCCAAGAAAAAAATCCGTTGAACTTTAAAGACCCATATTTATATTCTAAATAAATTAAAATAAGTAACAAACATATGTAATTAAAATTGGACAATAATAATATAGTATAGTTTATTTATAAAAAAGAAAACAGATCGAAATGAGAGATTTGGTTTAAAAAATTATAACTTTGCACAATGCACTTTGCTCTTCAACACTTCGAGAAACTTCCAAGAAAAAAATCCGTTGGACTTCAAAGACCTATATTTGTATTCTAAATAAGTTAAAATAAGTATTAAATGAAGCAATAAAACTGAAAGTAGGATCAAAATTTCGACTCGGATACTTTTGCACGGATCTAATTATAAATCGGCCGTATCTCTCTCTCTCTCTCTCTCTCTCTCTCTCTCTCTCTCTCTCTCTGTTTCTCTCTGTTTCTATTGTGTATTCAACGAATAATGAAATGTATTCCAAATACTGATATTTTGTTATAACGCCATGTAAAAGGATGTCTATTTGATCTAAAATGAATTTTATAAAAAAGTATAATTAAATTATAAACGTATAATATTACTTCAAAAACGAATGTATTTTTAAAAGTTCGAAATAAAAAAATGTATTAAAATTATATCTAATTTCTTTTATACGTTATATCAAAATTTCACTTGTTAATTGAATATTAATATAATTATTAATTAATTAAAGTATATTTTAATTTTATTTAATTTTTATTTAATTTTTATTTTATATTTTTTATTGTTTTTTATTAGCTAAATAGCGCGTGCGTAGCGCGCGCATGTATTGTTCTAGTGATTATATGCTAGAGATGTGCGAATCAAAGATTTTTTATGTCGAATCAAATCGAATCTCAGATTTTAATTTTAAATTCGAATCAATTCGAATCGATGAAATTTCATCCGAATTGAACCGAATGAAATTGAATCGAATACGTTGAAAAAATTTTTAATTAACATAATCATTGAATTCAACATGAAAATTATATCAGTTCAGTATAAGAGAGATAACAATTGTATATGTTCAGTATAAGAGAGGTAACATTGATTATGTGATATCAATTCATTTTTGAGATAAGAGATATAATATATAGTCGGTAAACGTGTATGGAATACAGTTCCAGCCTTGAAAGCAACGCGCAAAGCAATGCGCAAAGCAATGCGCAAAGCAATGCGCAACGACACATATCGATCCGACAGTTGTCGGTAAGAGTTTATCTAAAAGCCATTATCTTCTTTTAATATTAAAA